TGGGATTCTTAATACAATACACATGCTAAATGAAGTGTCTTTTAGAAGAGTCAGTAATTAATGCATCAAACACAACAAAAACAATCATTACTAAATAAAAAGGAAAAAGCACCTTCAGGGAACATACTGCAAATACATTCCGATTTCTAAGTACATGTATAGAGGATTGTTCTGTCGAAATAAAATTCTTCCAGCTTCTTTGCAGTACTTAAAGCAATCAGACAGAAAACATTCCAGAGGACTTGGGCAGTGATGTTGACAAATGTTCAGAAGACAATATTGGTACAAAAACTAGATTATAAGTCAGTTTTGCTTGTTTTTAAACCAAAGAAGAAAGTAAAATGCCTAGGTAGACCTTTGTGTAAAGTTATATATTTTTCTGTGCTATTATTTGCATAATGCAAGATAAACCTAGGCTTTGCTTAAACTGGTTTTCATTATTTCAGAAATAGTAGTTTATTATCCAACTTTCCTGTGTTATTTAAATTTGCTTTAAGATTTAACCAACAATGCAATTACATTGTACTTCTATCCCACCATTTTTCCTCTTGTGAGGAATGAAAGGTGACTTACCTAGCTCCATTTTATCCTCACAAGAAGTAGATTTGGCTAAGAGTGAATGACAGGCCCTAAGTCATGCAGTGAGATTCATGGCTGTACGGCAACCAGAACCCAGTCCCCAACTCTAACCAGCCCCACACTACACTGGCTCTCAGGTATGGTTCATTGAAGGAAAATTATTACTGAAGAGAATTAACAAACCTTGCCCAAACAACAAGCTTTAATCTATTGTAAGATGAACTACAGTGATGAAGCATACATATTAACCAAATAGTCTCTGTATTTTAAAATATTTGGTTCATGAATATCTTCTTTTAAATTGGCTCTCCGAAGCAGCTGTGGCCATTCCTGTTCGTCCCCATGTTTCTTCTTGATATATCCTACTCTTGTGTGATGCAGTAGAATTTCTGTTGGAAACTCCTGCAGTTTGAGTTTGCAAGAGTGCACCGTGTGCATCTTTGGGAATAATATAGATATGGTGTGTGTATAATATAGATATATATTTTTCTTCATATGGTTAAGTGATAACATAGATACTTTCTGCAGGATCAACATAATTTCTGCTGTCAGTTACTGGAGTGCAAGCAAGTATCTCACAGCAACAGCTTATTGTTAGGGCTAAATGTGAAAATTGCATTTCCAATATAGCACAATTAGGGCACAAACATATGCAAGTTTAGACAGCAAAAGACCTACAACTCACAGTATCCCTCAGGCAGTCATGCCTTTTTCTATCTAAACTTGCACAGGATTTGCACCTTTAGAAGGTTATTCAGACTTCTAAAGGTGGTTAATCATCCCTTGCAGAAACATCAATGTTTTGCCTAGCCTTGATGAAGCTTCATGTCCACTGTAGTCTAGGAATTCTGTTAATTTACCACTCACTGGCAGCCAGGGAAATGTGGCACCAGCCTCACTCTCTATAGAAGTTGTTTCTTCATCCCACAAGAAGCCTAAGCCTAACCTTCAACTCCTACAGGACTACCAAAGGCATCGACGAACCTAAGATCAAAGTAGGTAGTGCACCAGGAGATGGTGTTTCATGCTTGTTGATCCGTAGTTGTCCTATAAGAAATGCTGTCCAACTTCTTCATGTTCAACTACTTGTCAAAGAACTCCATATAGGACAGGTTGACAGGAAGCAACTACACTGGTGTTACCTGAAACAGCATGACGTCTTTTAGAGGAAGCATTTATGATGATGTCATTATTTGGACCTTTTTTTGTAGTGCTGATTTACAGGGCCTTTTTTCCCCAAGAAAGAGAATTCCACACACAGTTCAATGGACTTAGCACTGCATTCACTCTGGATATAACCCCAACCCCACCATGCTGACCTCAGAAGTAGTTCTGAATTCTCAGGTATGACTTTGGCTTATCTTTAATTATAAGAGAAGACTAATTTGGCCATTTCAGGGTATGGCTTCTAGCAAATTGGATTGAGGATTACCACCTCCTGCTCTCCCAAAAGATCCAAGACAAATTAAATGAGTCCCAGAAGGTCTCTCTTGACAGATTTTCAGTATTGACTTTTCATTATATTGTGCAGAGATTTCTAAAAATAACTTCTGTTAACACTTACAGTGGAAATGTATCACTGAAAAGGTGAGAGGATCAGCAGAAAGAAAGAAAAACGATTCACTGTTAGAGAAACACAGAAAGGCCAATATGTGGCTTTTCTCCACTTCTTCCCTGGCTTGCAAGAACAAAATAATCACCTTAGAAACACCACTATTCCGTTTTGTTCAGGTTCTGTTAGTTATACTATGAAGTTTGCATCATAAAAATCAAGCAGAACTTAAACTCCCAACTAGCCATTCATTACTTCAATTCTCCCTGCAATCTTCTAGGATCTGAGGTTCATTAACGCATGGGCTGCATCTCTACATAAATTCACACACTGAAATGCTACTGATAACATCTTCTCTCTACAACTGGCTACATACTCAAAAACCCTTCAGACTTGGAGAACCCCACACAGGGACACTCTATCATCAAGTTCTCCTGTGCAAACATGGAAAGACCCTGTGTTCATTTTTAAAGGCATGGCTTGTTTCCACTGTAGCATGCACAATATCTGTTTACTGTGGAAGTCTGAAGCATGCGTTTGGTGCATAGCTTTGGGTATGCATGCTGTTTATTCATATCTGCTAAGATGTTTGTCTATAAGTTCTCTTGCACTGTGTACAGTATCTTAAAAACCCCCAAAATATTGGTGATGCTTAAATCAGATGAGAAAATGATTAAAAGACTATATAATTTCTTACTCGATAGGAGAATGGAAGATGAACAGGTTAAGGAAACTATGATAACATGGGCATAAAACTTTGGATATAATATTGAATTAGAAAAATGGCAAAAGCTGTGGGAGAGAAATATTAAGGTAACATTAGCAACTTCATATAAAGAAAACCTGTACAAAATGTTTTATAAATGGTATCTGTCACCAAATAGATTGGCTAAGACGTTTCCAAATATGTCAAATGGATGTTGGAAATGTAAACATAAATTGGGTACTTTCTACCATATGTGCTGGACTTGCGATAATGCAAAAAAGTATTGGATTAAAATACATAAATGGCTTGAGGAAATGTTACAAAAATCCCTAGCTTTTAAACCTGAAGTCTTCTTATTAGGCATTATACCTGTTGATATTAGTAAACAAGAAATGTACTTGATTTTACATGTAATCACTGCGGTGAGGATTGCATTTGCTCAACACTGGAAAAGTGAAGAACCCCCCACCGACGAACTGATCCTAAAAAAAGATCTTGGACTGTGCAGAAATGGATAGATTGACTTTGCCATTGAAGGAGAAGGAAGATGCTGATTCCTGTCAAACTTGGGACTCTTTTTATTATTGGCTAGAGAAATGGAACTTCGTATAGATTTAAATCTGTTTCTAAGTTATCATAAATGGAAAAAAAATATGGGAGCTGACCCAGCAGGTCCAATGTTTCTGATGATTGATGTTGTTTTTAGTTTGTTCTTTGTTTTAGGGTTATAATTTTGAATAAAACTTATTATAAAAAAATAAGCCCCCAAAATACTATGTGTTGAAGGGTGAAATAGCACATTCTACTCAACATGTTAGTGTAGCTCACAGTGTAATTTCATATGAGGGTATGCCATCCCAAACTAGATTGGGACCATCTAGTCCCAATTTTGGGAAAGAAGGATTTAACCTTTCCTCCTTTCCTCCTGTAATTTCATTCTTCCACGTAGGGCTGGGATAGGGGTTAAAAGATTCTATCCATGGAGAGATGCCTTGCCTTGCCTTGCCTTGCCTTGCCTTGCCGGGTGGGAATAGAATTTCAGGCAGCAAATAAAGAAATGCTGTGGCCTCCCTCTCAACTGGGACCGCACAGACTTACATGAAATTAAAGAAAAACAGTTGCATAAGCTTCACAGAAACAGAGAGTGAAGCAGGTTGTCTTGCCCTATGCGCCATGTACGTGGGATTTACTGGAAGGAGCCATTCCATGTGCTTTGTTCAGAGAACAGGTTCAGCAAATCGGCTTAGCTGTGTAGATCTCAAGACCACATGAAAGCCCTGCTCCTGCTTCTTTATACACAACAAAGCCAAGTGTGAACTGGACAGTAGAGCCAGGATATGGGAGCAGCAAAAGAAATGAGACACATTTCCTGAAAACAGTACAAACCACAAGTGCAGAAATACACTACAGGGCAGACAGTGTCTTATTAGATTAAACTGTAGATAAGGGAAAGTATAATATATGCCTTATTAATAATAAAAAGTTAGCAGGTAGCTGAAGGTTTGGCTGTGTGCCTCCTATTCATATTAATGAGATTTGCAGCTAATGGCTAATTCTTTACATGCAGTTATATTAGGAACAAGTCCTAACATGTTCAATGACATTATGGATACTTCAGATGTGCAATTGCCATTTCAAAAACTATAGTGCCAAGCCTATCCTGAGAATGTCATGAAAACAAGAAAAACAAAGAAAAAAAAGGTGCCTGCATTGACAATAAGAAAAATACCAAAATACATTTTATAATAGAGTTATTAGTTCAGATGAAAGATCAAAAAATGCACAGGCTTTCAAGATCTATAGATCCTTCCCTCGCTCAGGAATGGGGCAGCTATGTGATATACCAAGAGTGAAAAGTATCTCATGAAATTGTGTCTTGGAAACTTGGAATTTAGAAAAATATATTTCCTGTATCTGGGAAGAAATACTTTTCTGTGAAATTGTAGAGGTTATTTTGTGCATATCAAATCCCTATTAAGAGTGTATATTCATGAACATATTAGGTCATCCAGGGTTACCCATCATATCATGAATGGAAATTTTATACAAAATAAAATGCTGCTCCTATGGCCAGCATGCAATCAAACACACACACAGAGGGGCGGAGTGCCAGGGGAGACGCAACTGTTTTATTCATTCAAATATCGGCAGTGGTATACTTACACTATTAACAGAAGTGGATATGCATTCCGATCTGTGAAATCCTTTGGAAATGACAACTGTAAGGGAAGTTCTTTTAAGAAAAGAGTAAAACATTAAAGACTGGTAGTTTCAAAGATGAAAAAATATATTATTTGAAAATGTTTTGGCTTATTCCAATAACTTCTAGTTATATTTACCATAATCATCAATGTGAAGCATTCGGGTTTCTGTCCGGAATTTTTTTTTCTTCAAAATTGCTTCTTTTAATACAGAATTATTTTCTAATATATAAAATTCTGTAAGGACAAAACGGTGAGGAAAGGAAGAATTGTGTGTGCATACAAGTGCATATGAAGAAATAGTCCATCTTTAAATAACAGTGTTATTTAAACATACTTAATAAAAATCAGTATAAGAATTGCAAACCAAAATTAAAGCATATTTTAAAAATGTATTTATCTAATAAGGATATTTTAGAACTTAGACTCTATTTAACTTAATTTGTAGTACACATGTGCTATTTTTTTTCTCTGACTTTAATAGCTTCATATAAAGACTTCCGGACCATTCAAGTGCTAATCCTGAGTTTTGGTATCTTGTGTTGGGTCACCAAGATAGATTAAGGATTTTGTTGGTGTACCCATTTTGCAGCCCATTAGTCTCCTGCCTGCCTGGGCTGTTGCAGGTTCCACAGACTCAGTGCTGATCATTCTGGAGTATCTTCTCTTCCATGCCAAGCCTACTGGATCCAGGATGACTTCATGCAAGACTTTATGGCAGCTATAACAACCATGGGACAATCGTAATTGGCCACAAACATGCCAAGAGACACACAATGCATTTTATTTTCTCAGCTGGGCAGGAGGAGGATGATCTAAAAGTGGAAGAATCAGTATCTCTCCACTTGTCATATTAGCTGTCCCTTTGTCATGCCTCTTGGTATACTTTCACCTCTGCAAATGTGGGAGATCTATTAAAAAGGTTTGCTCACAGAAGCTAATGGATTCCACAGTGAATGCAGTTCCATTAGCTAAGGTGCCCAGAGCATTGACGGGTTTAAATTTGTTTGGATAACTGGGGATGCAGAGAAGGGGCTGTGACTGACTCCCGCCAGCCACCTATATGCTTGATTCTTGATTCTTTTCCTCCATGGATCATTCTATCTAATAGGGAGCAGGTGTTCATCTGGATCTAGGAATATATGCATAAGACAGGGAGAGGTATTAGCCTCTATACAGGCAATTAGGAAAGATGGAAAATACTGCATGAACTCAAAATAACAGCAACAGCTAGTTGTACAAAATCTGGCCATTTACAAAGGCACACGTCTATAGTATGTTAAAATTATGCTTTCTCTATCAAGCTGCATTTTCCCATAAAAGAAGTATTTTCTTTTAACCTGACTGTTGCTTGCTTGCATTCATTTCTGTTTCTGATATTCCTTCATTGGCACTGTTCTGAGTATTTTTTAAATCTTAATTCAGGGCAACATGGGGTAATCTACATAGCTATGATATAATTTATGGGTAGTCAAAGCTGTAATAATTGTTGCAGATACCGTGATTGAAATAAACATTGGTCATATATTTTCTGTTTTGTTAATAGAAGAGATATTTAGCATTCAGGCCTTATGAACAACTTTGGTGTCATCATAAATCATAAATTGTAAACAATAACTTATATTACCTAATTTTATTTCCAATTACTCTATACAAGTGAATCTTTCCTTTGAACCATGGCAGATGGGAATTCTAAAAGAGATCAGAGAAGGCCATGTTCCCTTTCTTTTTACAAATATCAAACCATGGCATTTACTACTGTCTCATCCAATTACAATGGAAAGGGATTATTGCACTTTAAAGGTTTTAACAAAATGGCACACACGAGAGAATATTTGTTCAAATTATCCAGGTTGCCTCAAGTCAACATCATTTTTCCAAGTGGTAAATATAAATTGAATTCTATTTGGGTAGCAATACTATGTAAACTTACCTGGCAGTAAGCCCTACTGATGTCTATGCCCTTACTTCAGAAAGGATTGTGCTATTAATGTCCAGAATGTTCTAACTAAATAATAATGGTACAAGTAGTGTGAAAATAGATATAGCATTGGTATTTATTTATGAACCATCAAGAAAAAGGTTTCATGTTTCTATGCTAATTAACTAATTAAGTATAATATGAAGAGGGGGTTTGATTGTTTGTTTGTTTGTGGAGGTGGCCTGCATATGTGCTTTCATGCTTGGAATAACAGAGTGGATAGTTTCATATGATATGTGTCATTCACACACTGTCATGCTATTTCAGTATCATGGTAAGAAACAATGGTCTGTTCTATGGTTTCTTAGTTCTCTGGTTATCCAAATCCAGCGTCATAGTTTCCATGGCCCTAGTATGCAACCACCACAGAGTTCCCTGGCAATAGCAGCAGTTGCAGGATCTGTTCCATCATGGGATTGAATTTCAGGTGTGGTGGCTGTTGGGACAAATGCTAGAAGCAGGAACACTGAGTGAGGAGGGTGGAAACCTCACTAGAACCACATAGAAACTACTTAGACATCTGTTAGGTATATTCAAGCAAACAAATGCGTACTAAAGAAACTACACAGTGTTACTTGTGCAGTTTATTTTTTCTAATTTTTTCAGTATATTTTCCTAAGAGTTTTAGAGAAGCAAAATCTTTAACAAAGGTAGAATTGTATACATCAAATGGAGATTGAATTAGATAAGTAGTGCTCAGAAGCTCGCACCTTAATCCAGACTAATTGGATTACAGCTTTAAAGTACTTTTAAAACATACACCAGTGGCATGATCAGTTACATGAGATATAATAGGATCTCAATTTGCATAGTTAGTAAAAGAGATCATACCACTTTGCTACCTAATTAATGTAAGTATTAACAGGAGATAAAAGATAAACATCTAAAATAACATCAGCCTGAGAAATCCTTGGTATGTTATAGTCACTTGATTAATTTCCATCTATTCTTATCACTTACAGACATGTTTATTACTAGGCTATAATTAAGATGGGCTTTCCAAAATTAATTCCCTGGAGGTTTGAAAAGGTGAGGTGAATGGGGACGAGGCACAGGAAAATATCTAAAAAGTACTTACTTTCAGGATTATTCGTACTGTGTACACTGATGATGGGAACACCAGGCCCTATAATGTCCCCCAAAACAAAACAAAACAAAACAAACAAAAACACTGTTATTATATTTTTTAATCACTGGGGGGTTCCTTAATACTTCACTAGAACATGAGACTCACATAATGTGCTTATCAGTTTCTGCACACAGTTCTAAAAAGAATCAATACATCTGCTTTAACACTAACCCATGAGTAGTCCCATTAATGCCAAGCCATTCCTAGGACAGTCTCCTGGGAAATAGCAAAAGTTTGAGGCATTGCTATCTCCCTTCTGCCTATTTACAGCGAGAGGTAAACTGTTCTCCACAATTCCATTCCATCATCAGCCTGTGGTTTCATTATTTCTAGAGCACTGTTCCAGTAACTTTCATCAGAAAAGAACTTCTGTAATGTTGATTAACACATTCATGAAGAAAGAAGTGTATTCTTTTGAGAGAGGGAAGGTCCCTAGGATGGGGGAGATGTCACTTTCCTGCAAGAGTGGATCAGTGCTCCAACTCAAGCTAAAGGAAACAGATTACATAGAAATCCCCCTCCCATTTAAAAATAGCTTTATGATGTTCTCTCTCTCTCTTTCTCTCTCTCTCTATTTGTCCTCCTGTAGGATAGTGCCAGTACACTTGAATAACAACAGGACATATATTATCCACCAAGTAGATATATTGTTGCATAGCTTTTGCATATGCTAATTGATATGCTAATTGTCACCTTATAAGTGCAATTACTTGTATGTGTGCCAATTTAAGAATAGCCCCAACCCTAATGTAAATAGAAATGCGGTGCATCTCACCACAATGTGAGGACCGTGAACAGGTGACCTATGTGTCCTGCACAGTTTGCTATCTAGGTGCAGCTTCAAGGCCTCTGATCTCCCATCACATGCCCTTTTATCTTTAAACTAGAATCGGACTTGGCAACCTTTCAAACAATGGACTGTCTTCTGTAATAAGAGGACAACCTCTGTGAAATAGGGCACAAAGCCATCCTAAAGGACCTCTTTACATGCCTCTTCCATAAAGGAAACTCCTAAATTACATGTGCAGATGCAAAATTTCTAGGCAGGGCACTGGAGTTTTCTCTGCCTACTGAATTCAACTGGAAAGTAGAAGAAACTACAAATCCCATGCAGGAAATTGATGTGGTCTTTCTTCTCCACAACCATTCCATTACCTTTCCCAAAAGGTCAAGAGGAGAGGTTGTTTAAATTGCTTGCAAGCAGCTCAGAGACCCCGAGTGTGGGCTAATGTAGCAGCATATAAATAAAGAAATACAACAATTGATACTTGCTGAATTATAAAAGGAAGTTTTGTATTTGTAAAACATGCATCATATTCCTTATTTATATATGTATTGAATGTAAAGAATAGCTTTCCACTACGTGGCGAAGGGGCTTGCGTAGCTCAATGAAGCTATGAGCTATGCCGTGCAGGGCCACCCAAGATGGACAGGTCATAGCAGAAAGCTCTGACAAAAGGGGATCCACTGGTGAAGGAAATGGAAACCCACTCCAGTATCTTTGCCATGAAAACCCCATGGACAGTACCAAAAGGCAAAAAGATATGATGCCGGAAGATGAGCCCCTCAGGTCGGAAGGTGTCCAATATGCTACTGGGGAAGAGCAGTGGGCTAGTACTAGTGGCGCCAGAAAGAATGAAGCGACTGGGTCAAAGCTGAAAGGACACTCAGTACCGATGTATCTGGTGGTGAAAGGAGAGTCCAATTCTGTAAAGAACAATAGTCCATAGGAACATGGAATGTAAGATCCATGAATCAAGGCAAGCTGGATGTGGTCAAACAAGAGATGAAAAGACTGAACATCGACATCTTAGGAATCAGTGAACTAAAATGGACAGCAATGGGTGAATTTAATTCAGATGACCATCAGATATACTACTGCGGGCAAGAATCTCTCAGAAGAAATGGAGTAGCCTTCATAGTCAATAAAAGAGTAGGAAAAGCAGTACTGGGATACAATCTCCAAAATGACAGAATGATCTCAGTTTGATCTCAGTTTGAATCCAGGGCAAACCATTCAGCATCACAGTAGTCCAAGTCTATGCCCCAGCCACTGGTGCTGAACAGGCTGAAGTTGACCAGTTCTATGAAGGTCTACAACACCTTCAAGAATTAACACCAAAAAATGATGTCCTTATCATTATGGGGAATTGGAATGCTAAAGTAGGAAGCCAAAAGATAACTGGAATAACAGGCAAGTTTGGCCTTGGAGTACAAAATGAAGCAGGGCACAGGCTGGTAGAAATTTGTCCAGAGAATACGATGGTCATAGCAAACACTCTTTTCCAACAACCCAAGAAACAACTCTACACATGGACATCACCAGACGGTCAACACAGAAATCAGACTGACTATGTGCTCTGCAGCCAAAGATGGAGAAGCTCTATACAGTCAGTAAAAACTAGACCAGGAGCTGACTGTGGCTCAGATCATGAGCTTCTGGTTGCAAAATATAGGCTTAAGTTGAAGAAAAGCACTAGGCCACTCAGAAATGACCTAAATCATATCCCTGATGAATATACAGTAGAGGTGACAAATAGATTTAAGGAATTGGATCTGATAGACAGAGTGCCTGAAGAACTATGGATGGAGGTTCGCAACATTGTACAAGAGGTAGATGGCAGAAGTTGTTAAACCTTCTTTAGCAAGTAAGTTCTCTTTAAAAGCTAAAACCTTGTCTGAAATTGCAATGTGCTTGCCTGCTGGTAAAATCAACAATGGAAATTGATGTAGCGTGTCATTTTTATCAGGGGATGTTGCTGGAAACATTCACTGTGGAGCATTCTATCTCTCTCTCTCTCTCTCTCTCTCACACACACACACACACACTCAGTCATTCCTACAAAACATGCCTCTGGTGTTGACGAGACAAAGAGGGCCTCTCTTGTGAGGCAGGCTCCAGTGGGAGAATGTGGTCCTTCAAATATTCTAGTCTCAAGACATCCTGGCTTTTATCATATGTTAGAATCACTGTAAACTATTTCTAGAATCTGACAGCATATGAAGCTTTTATCACAAAGGAGTCCTCTGTAGTTTATGACCAATGCCAGTCAGTAGTCTAGCTCCAGGATTCTGGACCAAGTTTCTAAGTTTCTAAGAGAATATAAAACAATTTCTAAGCAATTTTCAAATGGGATGCAGTTAAGACATCTGTCACCATGATGAGGTCCACCATCTCCAAGAAAGGGTGAAGATGGAGAAAAACATACTCCTGGCCATCATCACTAAAATCTGAGCATCCAGCTTCCTGAAGTACACCCAAGCAGAGGCTGAATCTCAGAGGGGAGAACTCTATCAGAAGTTGATTCCTGATTTCTTAACTGACTTTTGACCAACTTAAGGCATTCCTTTCTTGTATTAGTTAAGCTTCAATTTGTTCAACCTTATACAGTTCACTACAAACATCAGTTATCGCTACAGAATTTCAAAAACTTCCCTGGATTTAGACTGAAAATATAGATACAGTATATTAATTTAAAATACTTACGCAGATAGCATGCAGTTATTTGCAGTATGACATGCTTTGTTTTTAGAGGAGTAACTCCCTTTTCAGGAAAATGACATAAAAGTGTTCATACACACATACATATATGAAACAGTTCTAATGTTCAACTGAGGTGCTTGACTTACCTTTACATTGCAGGATAAAATACTTGATTGAAGGACTAAACTTTGCGCTGAAATATGTGCACTGATCTTTCATGAAACTGCATGAAAGGCACTGACGATTCAACAATTCCACTGTGGATACACTGATGTGGCAAATGTATACACACATATATAATATTAATCAAGCACATGTAAATATAGGCAAAATATATGCAGAAAACTGTTTATTGTTTTAAGGTGAAATCCACTGGTGTCCATCCACCATTTGAATGAACATCACTGGAGGGATGCTTTCCCCTCCTCCCTGGACCTTACTGCATGCCAAGAAAAATGGTTTGGAGGACTGGGAGATGGACACCAGTGAGAGGAGAGAAGGGAAAGGAAGGCAATCAGAAGTCCATTTCATGAGCTGAAGTCCACTTACACAATACTTGATGTTGCTCATAATGTGCAACTGAGCTTGTGAATACCTCCCAGACCAATTTCAAACCTCAAGGGGGCAAAATTAAACCACTTCCTTTTCTCTTCCACTTCTCTGAAATGTCTTAACTAAAACTATCCAATAACTAGAGTATTAGGCTCAGGAAAAATATGTGGTAGTGTGGTTTATTGTAGCATACAATGCACATATGAAATGAACCATGGGGGTAACATTTCTCAGATAATCGATAGTCGTCTCTTCCACACCAAATAACCAGTATGAGAGCCAGTGTGGTGTGGTGACTGGAATTCAGGTGATCTGGATTCTAGTCCCTGCTTGACGAAGGAGCTGAGTGACTTTGGGCTAGTCACAGACGCTCAGCCCAACCCACCTCACAGGACTGCTGTTGTGGGGATACAATGGAGAGCAGCAGCAGGAGAATTACGTAAGCTGCTCTGAGTTCATAAGAAATATGCAGGATATAAATCTAATAAATAACAACAGCCATAACCACAACAGAGAGGCACAGGTACGATCTGTGACTTAGAAAGCAAGCTGCTGTTTATCTCCTTACCTATGTAGTTGTCTTCCTCTGGGTGAATTCTCTGTACTTAGAAAGTAACTGGTAAAGGAAGAAAAGAAAGAAATATATTCAGCCCAGGTAATAGCAATGTATTTAACCACCCAGAGAGCTTTTGCTGTGAAGGTGGATTAGTAATGAGGTATATATTTTAAACAAATAGATACATAAGAGGTAGAATAACTAACAGATGTGGGAAAACAGCAGCATGTAAGGCCTTGGCACTGTGCCTCTTGTCCATTATTGTGCCCCCACAGCTGTCATCAGACTCACGTGCCACCAGGAAGAATCAGAGCTGTAGGCAGTCCAGCTGTTCTGATGAGGAACTATCTTAAGAGACAAAAGCAATTGTGCTACTTTGCCCTCATTGCTAAGTACCAGTTCTCTGGAATAGCTCCTCTCCCTTGTATTTCCATGGAACCTTTGATAAGCTGCAGCTGAAACGGCTGCAACTGCCATCACCAGGTAGCCATCACCAGCAAGAGCAGATAGGACTGGCTCGTGAACATTCTATTTATTTATTTATTTATTTATTTATTTATTTATTTATTTATTTAAAGTTTTTTGTAGACCATTCTATAGCAAATGCTCTCAGAACAGTTCCCAACATAAATTTTCCATCATTGTCCCCAGATACCCTTTCTAAGTCACCACTACCCTTTAAAAAGAATGTTATGATCTATAACGCACATTCGTTCTTGCTCATTGCAAAGCACCTTGAGCAGCCAGCATCAAGTCAAAAGATAGGCTGGATATAAATAGTGCAAGAATAGAATAGAATAGAATAGAATAATTGTTTAACTTCTAAATACAGTACCAGAGTTTGTATGCACATAATAGTTTAAGGCTGCAATTCTATGAACTAGGGAGAGAGACCCATTGAACTGAGTGAGACCTGGATTTGAGGAAAAATACATAATGCACTGTAAAGCTATTTTGTAAGGCAAATGTAAAGCTTCCATAATGAAACAAAGAAACACAAAAGTATCAGCAGAACGGAGAGACGGGCTGTCAAGAACATCGTCAGTAGCATTTTCTGTATAACGTGCCCTTGCTTCAAACCTGACTCATCCCTTACTTAGCATATACTTACACAAGCACTACTGTGAATGTAGACATGTAAATGAGAGAAGTTATGAGTTGAATTAAGGACCGCATTCATGTAATTCAGGACTTCTAAAGTAGGGAATGAGTGATTGCTACAGGTCATTAGCCTAATGTCTGAACCCAAAGGAAGACATGGGTGTAAACTGCCCACTCTCTGATCACAGGGTATAGAATCTTCCTGATTTGTCACATCTGGAGTCTCACAACTCTAGATGGATGGGGCAGATTAGCCACCCGTGAGTTCCCCAGTTCTGAAAGGCAGGTCTCAAGCATGGCCAGTCATAGTTTTTCCAGCTGTGCAGTAAGGAAAGGGTTTTTGTTTTTGCTATAAAGATGAAACTGACAATAAAGGCAGAAAGCTTATCAATTTTACTGCCTTTGTACATGTCTCCGAATTCTTGCAAACATTTTTGTATCAATGTATATGGCCCAATGTAGACGTGTAATACTTACTACCATGAGCAAGAGTTTGTGCTTAATATTGGCCCAGTAATATTTCTCTCGAATGAATATGACATTGGATAGAATCATATTTCTTATTTATTTTTATTTTATTTTTTGCTACACCTCCCATCAATTGGTTCTCTGAGCAGTTCACATAATTGAAAAATATGGGAATTAACCTCGCCCACTGAATTTAGTCGAAAATGAATTTTCTTTCTTTCTTTTTAATAGAGAGAAAACGGCAAGGGGATGCAAATTTCAGGAAGCAGATCAATGGTGAAAGCTTAATTTGATCCTCCCACTTCAAACTGGGGCCAAGTGCAATCCTCCCTTAGTAAAAAGTAGGGCCAGCATCACACTACACAATGAATGTCATGTGTGTTTGAGCCTAATTATACCTTTCATTTGCAGAAGGAACCAGTACTATTCCATTTTGACCCATCCAGTTATTTTCTTCTTTTAGTTTCCCTTGCATTTGCTCCGAGCTTTTTTCATGTCTGAACTCCATGCATGTATGGACAACAGACTAAATGGTCTGTTGTGGTCTAAAATGGTGAATGCTAATTTTGGATGCATTAATAGAATTACTACTTCCAAATCATGAGAAGTAGTAGTTCTATACTCCTCACTTGTTGGACCCCATCTGGAATATTGTGTCCAGTTCTGGGGACCAAGATTTAAGAAATATGCAGAAAAATTAGAAAGGGCCCAGAGGAGGGCAACAAAAATGATCCAGGATTTAGAAACACTGCCCTGTGAGGAGAGACTGAGCCTTGAGAAGAGAAGACTGAGGGGTGGTATCACTCTAAGTACCTCAAAGGCTGTCATGAATAGGAAGGTCAAGATCTCTTTCAGAGTGTAAGACACAGAATGATCAAATTGTGACAATCCAAATTCAGGCTAGATATCAGGAAAATTTTCCTCACTGGAAGAACAATACAACAGTGGACCCAGTTTTCCAGAGAGGTGGTGAGCTCTTGCACACTAGAGACATTCAAAAAGAAACTGGACAGCCATCTGAGTGGGATGGTGTAAATTGGTGTCCTGCACCAGCAGGGGGTTGGACCCGATGGTCTTCATGGCCCCTTCCAACTCTACTATTATATGATTCTCTGATTCTCCATGTCTGATGGAGATCCAATCGACCATATCTTTTCCTTCCAGTGCAGAGTGAGGAGGCTTGTGGCCATTGCTCAGACAAGTATTTGAGGCATGTGGTTTCTCCTAGTACTTTCCCTGGCTATTCAGGGAACTAGGGCCTGGATATTTTAGAAAGAAAAGCTTCTGTGAGGAAATTAATCAAAGGTACATTTGATGAAGATCTTTAAGTTCCTAGATACTTTTTATTACCAGTGAGTGTGCAGAACTGTTCAAAAACTAGTTTTCAAAAATGGAAAACAATGTACCTGAACTGCACATGCAGAATGTCTTCATATTTGTTTGTTTCCATTATACATCAATTTTCAGGAGCAAAAGGGCTAGGCTGAATTTCAATTTCATATCAGAATTAAATGCTCAATGAATTTTTACAGGAAACAACACATGCTGTCATCATTAACATACTGTTTGATCACCACCGATGACTAGAATTTGTCCTCAGGTGATAGGTGGTGTGCGGAGCCTGTGATTGCATTGCATTCCCTGGGTATCTGGCCTGTTCAAAACACTAAAAAGCTCTTCACTATGTTCAGTTCAGTGCAATTTTACTATGAACAATAATTAAACCATTCCTTTTGTGACTGAATCCTTCCAAAAGATCTGTGGCTCAAACTGACATTCCAGGAGAGGGTAGAAGAGATATGGATGCACACCTGCAACCCTTTGCAGCTTTGTTACATATACGTTACAGCTGCAGAATTTTTAAATTTTGTCCTTAGCCAGTTAAGATATGACTAACTAGTAATGAAAGGGTCCTATGGAAGTATGGCCCGAATCTATATTCTCTATGTAGTTGTAGAAAGAAATAGAGATAGATATCTATATTTTCCTTTGTGTGCCTTGGACATCAGGTAGATTTCAGCTTTAAACAAAAAAACCAACCCACCCACCCACCCACTCGTACTGTTGCCCCCCACCCCTCTTCCCCTTTCACATGTTAAATGCTAAAAGCAATGTACCTTAGCTGACTTTCATGCTAGGCACCGATTACTGGTCGTTGTTTTACTTGAAATTCTTTGTATAACACTACTTGTTGGAAAATGAACTTCAGAGGAATTTTACAATCTTATGATGTCATCTTCTACATGGCTACTTAGAAGTATGTCTCACTGATTTCAGTGGGGCTTATTATCAGGTAAGTGCATACAGGATCGCAGCCTTAACAACGCAGGAGAATTGTGATCAAAGATACATTTCTTACAGAAACTTGTGTGATGCTTTCTTCTCTTGACAGTGTTGGGAGAACAACAGACCATATGTATATGTTCTCTCTATATATCTTTATCCGTTTATATATAGATCTAAAAATATAGATATATATGGACACACACACACACACGTGTGTGTGTGTGTGTGTGCATAAACATGTAGTATATTGGAAGCAGTATGTCCCTGCCAGGTAACATAAGCAAGCAAACAGTGCACCAGGCCATACATAGCTTTGGTCTGACCCAGCATAGCTCTTCTTATCATTTTATGTTGTTATTTAGAACTTAAAAGATTTACTCAGAATGGTTGAAACTATGTTACGTAAATGCTTCCCTCAGAATTGCAAGGAATACAATGGACCTATAGAAAATTTGAGGTTGTAAACCAACAGCGCTAGTTTGTAAATCTTATAAATATTATTCTAAACAATTTTTCTTTATAAATCCTAACAATGTTTCTTTTCAATATCGTAAGGAAAACCCTTAGAATGTTTCCATCGTTACACAGAGTTTATATTTATTTCATTTCAATCAGTGTGGTGACCTAGAGGATGTCACAGTCTATCCTTGCTCTTTATTTGCAAAATGTTCTTATGCTATGCAACAGGCAGTAAGAATCAACTTTCTCTTTGTATTTATGTCTATAACTTATATTCACACTGGCAAATGAAAGAAACATGGTTAACATTTAATAATATTTGCAGTAAAAAGGAATCTATCCTGATGCATAAATATTTTACCTGAACAGACAAAGAAAAATAATGCTCACATCTTTTGGGTATTTTCGTCATATGCCAAGATTTTGATAACTTCCCAGTTTCCAGATGTCAGATGTCGTATACTAAATTGTTCACTCTTGGTCTGCAGGAAAACAAATTTCCCCCTTTGCCTTCAGATTTGCCAATACACACGATCAATTATAATATACTTGAATGAATGACATTTTTAAAATGTACATTAGAAGACAGTCCAAAGTATCTATGCATACACGGAGATGCATTCTATGCATGCATATGGTGTGTGCGGAGGCTGCTAACCAGTGTAGTGGTAACATGTGAAGCAGGCGACTGGCCCCATAACCATGCTCCTTGGGAGCTTCAGAGAATGCAGGCAGAGGGGCTCAGACATATCAATGACGCAACAATAGCAGCTTTCATCTGTTGCCTTACTCAGCTTCTTTTCCACTACAGACTGTTTATGGGATATGACAGATCTTTGGGTCTGCCTGCCTTTGCTCCTGAAGAAATAGAGGATAGGAGTGACGTGTCAGAAAAACGCAGGCATGGCCTCATGACTCTACTCCCTTCTCACCTTTGACAACTCTGGAGGTGAAGGGAGTGTACAGTCACTGAATCCAAATCTGTCCTTCTACAGCTCCTTCAGGGGCAAAAATAGGCTTAACCCTCTCTTCTTTTCCAAGCAATCATGGGGAAGAGAAAGACACAAACTTTAACATTGTTTTCATGCTAATATAATAGAAACTATTTTTAATGCATACCCATAGGTTTCTTGGAACCTATGGAACTGACACATACAGTCAAGTCTTCTGCCTCACTATTCCTCTGTGACGATTCCTGCTATAAGCCCCAGACCTTGAAGCAGCCGACATCCCTTTAAAATAGCGAATCTCACGGGATTTTGTGAAGTGTTCTAGGCTACGTGTTCTTCTTAGTGTTCACACTGGTGGCCTATTTATGGAGTTATAGCAGTTTCCACTACCAGGGAACGTCATCCTACTGCTACTGTGGTTACTGCAATTAGTTACGTGGGTTACACTACGTGGGTTCCTGGTCTGCACACAGCCAAGCTCCCTTTCCCAGCCTGGGGAACTCGGCAGTTTAGGACCTTAACTCCAATCAGCTTCAGCCAGCATGGTCAGTGGTCAGGACTTGCAGTCCAAAACACCATGAGGTCGGGGAAGGCTGCACTGGAGTGTCAACAGTAGTCCACATTAGGTACATATGTATACAACTTGCATAAGACGTGGGGGGAAGAAATAAATGGAAAAAAGTAATGACTGAAGTAGCCTTAAGTGAAGGTTCTTGCTTAAGTTCTTTGTGAATCACACACACACGTGTGTGTATGAGGACTCAGCACATTAAAAATCTTCATCTTGTCACCAATCTCATTGCTTCAGATAGGGGGTTATTTTGATTTACAGATCACATCACACCTGTGGTGGAATGTCCTGATGCCTCATTTTCCATATCTTCCATATTGGCCAGAAAGTGGAAATCAACGAACACTTATAATTATGAAAATTTGAGGCATAATTTTCAGATATAGCAGCCTCTAGGTGGTAAAGCCTGAACTAGTTCAGAAAATGAAGCACAGGGTTGTTTTTTCTGGCTGCCTTTTAAGTCAGAGTTTGTCTGGTTTTTTGACTGAACTTTTATTGGAATTTTTATTGCAAGTATGTGTATAGGGATTAACATAATCAAGATGTAGACTGAATGACTCCAACTTTTTAGGGGAGATTGGGGTGCACTGATGTTCAGGCTTGCCTTCAGAGTCCTTTCCCTGTTCTGAGCTGGTTCTATGGCTCAATCTTCCCTGATCATCCCAACATTTCCAGTCTCACCATGCCAAGAAGGATGGAGTGACTACCTGCTTGAATTCTCTTTTTCTTGGAGGCTTTCCCAATGGAGACAGATCTATGATGGGCCTATAGAATATATAGATCACAGGTATAATTTCAGAAACTTTCACTAAGGTGGGATTTGATGTACTACTCTCCGGCTTTCTGGATGGAAGATTGAGGAGGAAACCATATCAGTAGCAGGTATGCCTTTGCCAAAGTGGAAAGGTGGAAATACTTGGGCGTGCATTGCTATTGCACCTTTAAGAGAACCTGAGGCATTCAATTATACTTGCTATGCAGGAGTTTCCAGCATGAGCAGATAAACAACATCTAGTACATTTACTGTCAAATCATTATAAATGGAAAGCTTTGGTGCAGCTGCTTGTAAATTCAGGTAAACCAAGACTAGTAGGTATGAATGAATTATAGTAAATTAATTTCAGGTTAAGACTTTTTGGTGTTCTTATTGATTTTATATTTTCTTAATCATTTAAGGATTTTAACAATTTTCTTAGGTGTCCAATGTTTCTGTATCATACATTTTGTTTTATTTTTCCTTTTTTTTACTATTCTTTCGTTGCACTTTCCTGGCCTGTGACCAAAGTAAAGTAATTAAATCTTCAGAGGACCTCTGCAGCTGCTGATATGTATTTCTTCAGTTGTGTCAACTAATCGCACTATATCACCTGCCCTGCCATGCTTCACTACTGCTTCTACCTTCCTGATGAGTTATCCAAACTCCCTGCCCCACTGTTGCCAATTCTGAACATCTCTTTATTTAAAACACTGCAAGCATGTGCAGTTTCACATTTTAAACTCATTTAAATATAGCCATCATAACCACTGGGAAAAAACAACTTAACTTGTGTTTCCCTTGGCTCAAACACGGGAAATGCTTAGGAATAAAACCAATTTTGTGTCGAAAGAAACATATATTTTAAAAATAAAATAATAAAACAAGCATCTGTAACTGTAACTATGTCCATCTCTGTTGGCTTCCTATAAAATGCTTTAAATAAAAGAAAGAAAAATGCTGTGGGCCCTGGTGTATTCACGCTGACTGGGGACTGACACCCAGCCTATGAGCTACTGTCTCCATCACCTGCCACTTCATCACCTGAAGGACCTTTGGGCTGCACGGGGCTGGAAGTCAGGACCACTGGGTAAAATATGAACTTACACAAAAGGAACTTACCTGAACGTTAAACATGGCAATATGGTGGAATTCTCCACGCCCCCCTTGCTTAACAGGAACTGTCATAAAGAATTTATTGCCATCTTTAGAAAAAACTGGCTCCTCATTCTACAAAAACAACATAGAATCAAAATTCTGATTTTTTTTTCTTTAACACCACTCCATATAAGCTCTTATTACTATGAGTAAAACATAGAAATGTGCACAGTACTGAACAGAGACACTATTTATAGTACAAATGATTGACCTAGGTAAGCAGACAAATATTCCAACAGACCATTCAATTTCCTAATAATAAAATCTCCAAAATTTATCCAGACAGCTTTCCTCAAAAAGTAGCAAACTGAAACAGGAATTGCATTCCATGGGTCTTAATCAAGTAAGCATGATTTGGAGTTAACTGATGATACCTTAGTTCAATTCATATTAAAGGTAAAGATAAAGGTTTCCCCTTGACATGAAGTCCAGTCATGCCTGACTCTAGGGGGCGGTGCTCATCTCCGTTTCTTAGCAAGGGAGCCAGCATTTGTCCGCAGACAGTCTCCGTGGTCATATGGCTGGCATGACTAAACACCGAAGTGCACGGAATGCTGTTACCTGCCCACCGAAGTGGTACCTTTTCATCTACTTGCATTTGCATGCTTTCGAACTGCAAGGTTGGCAGGAGCTGGGACGGAGCAACGGGAACTCACCCCGTTGTGCAGATTCGAACTGGTGACCTTCAATCAACCAGCCCAGCAGCACAACGGTTTAATCCACTGCGCCACCTACATCCCTCAATTCATATTACACCTCTTCTAATATGCTCCTAGTTTAGATTAGAAATATGCTACTAGATTGCTTAGATTGTGGATCATTTACTATAATGAATTTTCCATATATGCTCTATAATAATGATCTGTAACTTTTGCCACCAAATATGATTACTAATTTTGACCAGAATCCTAGTGCTGGATTTCGGGAACTTGCTCTTAGACCAGTTCAACATAAATACACATACAGAAATAATTACACTACAGAGAGTCTTATGTTAACTTAATGATCAGCATGCTGGGTCTTTCAAGAAAAATACCCTATTTTCCCAACAGAAAGCTGTAAATGCTTTACATTTTTAATGATTATTTTTACAATGTTATACCAATTTGTTACAATACCTACTTTTGTATGTTTTCTTTTGGCTAACACCTTTTTAAAAACCAGTTTAATGGAAATCTTATATAACAAGACTGAATATCTATTTTTTCCAGATTAATTAAAACCAAAGGATCAGATAGCTCAGTAAATCTGACACTGGCTTTACGCATTTGTACTGGAATATCTGCCTGAGGTTCCTTGATATATGCTTGTGATACTACATTTCTTCTGCAATTATTTCATTTTATTTTTTTTTCCAATTAATGTCTAATTCTAATTGAGTCTATTTACCAAACTGGTTTAGTTTAAAATTTGAGCACATTTTGAAATTAATTTAACAGTCAACATATTAAAGATGTTTGTTTTCTATTCTGAATCAGTTAATAATTTTGTACCTGTTTAGAAAGCCATACTTCAGATGTAAATTCATATTTCTGAAAAAGAAAGACAGAAAAAAAGAAATTGTAATGTATATAGCTGTTATGGTAATTGAAAATTAATGAACTTTACTCTTTCTTACTATTTAGATGCCCATAAATAGGAGTAACAGCGGGTTGCATGTTGAACCTCCTAAAGCATATGCCATTGGACAGTCTTAGCGTATCATTTACTATGATCCAATTCCCAGTATAGTTTTTTTTTCTTGAATAGAAGAAAGGCCTTTTTACATAGTAGGAATTTTATATCTGCCATTTGTTTTTATGCAATGCTTTGATATGAACATCGTTTTTCAATAGTTAGCATTTCAATATTAGCATTAGCATTGTGCAAACCAGATGCACAATGGAATTGTACAAAAGCAGGACCCACTGTTTGTGGAAGGGAACTTTTGGGGCAGAAAGGAATAAGCAGTTCCACGGGTTCTCCATTGCACTTTCCCTCAAGCCTCTGCCATGCCATGTCCTTTAATGCCACTGGAGTGTAGTGCCATTGATATTTCTGTGCAGGCTAGAAGGAGACACAGCAAGCTAAATATTTTGTTTAGACATAAATATAGGGACTGGCACTGCTTTTCCCAAAATAAAGCATTCTAAGGCAGATACCTCAGAGCTGGAATCTGAACTAAGAGATGGGTCCAGAACTCTTGGCTGAAATGCCAAGGCCAGCATCTCTGAGGGAAGCCAGGGGACTGGTAAGAAACAGAACATGTCTGGTTCAGAGGAAAACATGATTGAACACACCAAATGGGAAGAGGAGATATAACTTGATCGGCCCTGGAACCAATGCCAGATCAAATTAACAGACTACAGTTATTCCTGCCAGCTGGCCCACAAGCTGCAGGAACCTTCTTGAGGGCGAAGTAGCTCTATTTGGGTGGGAAGTGGGGAGCGGGATTCCATTTGGAATCAACTTCTTGGCCTGAGTGTCATTTCCTCCATTAATGGGCTTCCTAATGTGATTGGTGTCTTTTGCTAAAGAGCTCTGCAATACTCCCTTTGTATCACAGATCCAGCCTGGCTGGCCCATTTTATCAGAAAAAAGCTGAAGCTAGAACTATCTTATCCTCCTCTGCTTGGAAGGAGAAAGGGTAGAGCAAAGACCAGCATTTGACAATGAAGTGAACCTACTCAAAAGTTATTTTCAGAAAGAATATTCTTGCAGCAGTTGTTAACATTGCTGAAATCCATGTTAATTTATGGTCAGCTATGGCTGCTTCTGATGCTTCTGCTTAGAAGACAGAGAGGAATTTATGGATCTTAGACTTGTTCAACACATACCCAGCTGCTCTTCCTCTAGGAGCACAAAACCCAACATGTAAGGCCTAATGAAACCATGATATAAGTAAATGTGTGTGTGTTGCACCAATTCAAGGCATCCATTGTTTCACGAGCACAATGACAGTAATTGTAAAGTATCATAGGGAGAACATAACCAAGAGATTGCATACCATGCTACAAGCACCAGTTGTCGTCTCACACACTGTAAGGATTGATAAGTCCTGAGGTCTGTTCAACCAGCGCACCACAGTCTTTGTATTGCTGACCCACTTCACCATCATTATATAATATTCTCTGAAGTAGAGCAGAAGGGTTTTTTTTAAAGAGCAGTTAAATTCTATTACCATTACTAAGAATAATGATAATTTTTTTAAAATAATAGTGTTGACTTATACAAATTTAACGTAAGAATTTATTTTGCTTTATATTTTACCAGAACAAGGAAAAACAAACTTTGGAACAACTGCACACACAGAACTGCTTTCAGTGCTATGAAGTTGCTAAAAAGAATGCCAAATGCCAAGGACATCCTGCAAAAATTATTTTCAAGAGTACCTAGTTGCTTCCATGGCTAAATAGAATAAAATAAAATAGAAAGACACTGTGCTTTCTAAAACCAGAAAAATGTTTTAGCTGAAAGAGGCCATACTACATGAAATATTTATCAATGACACAGATAATTCTCTCCTTTTACAAGCCCTGTAAGACTGCTGTAGTAAAGGTGTTACTTAGAAACATAGAAACAGAGCAAGTCAGAAGAGGCCTCCCAGGCCACCTAGTCTGACCCCCGGCTCCAGCCGGCTCCACTCACGACATGCTCACCATCTCTTACCTGTCAAGGCTACAAAGCTCACCATGCATTGTTCAGTACACTGCTCAACGCTGAGGATAGAATGCATTTAGCTGCTACAGTTCTGATCAGCAGTGTTTAAAATTACAAGCCACACAAGCCGGCCATCTCAAAAAGCAGTAATTAGGAAACAGTGGCTTAAGAGTTGTAGCTTCAATCACATTGACATTCAGACTGATGTCATTTAGGCTGCAACTCTACATACTTACCTGGCAGTAAGTACCTGACAGTAAGAACTGCAGTCCTATACATATCTCCTGAGAACTAACCTCTACCATCTTGCAAGAAGCTTGTCACTGCCTTTGTATTATAACTTAATATGTGCAGTCTTTCTTATGAATTCTGGATTTCTACAGAAGAGGTTATAAACATTATCTTACTGACCACTATGATAACTGCCTAGTAAAGTCAACAGAGACATGAAGCTTAACAAATAAAAGGGATTTGCATTACTCTGTAAGTACCATGTAAGCACAAATATAAAAGTTAATCTAAATTAACTTTCTAATTGCATTAGAACAGTTTTTCCTTTAAACATCATCATCATAATTTGGAAATGGGATGTATTCAGCACAGCACCAGTTGGCAATGTGCAAGCGTACATTTATTGTACCCTGCGTACAACAAAGTTCATGTATGTGGATTCTGCCAACAGTTTTGCAGACTGGCACCAAGCATAATAAAATACATTGAGAAGTGTTGTGTAATGGCTTGTCCACACTGAATCAGAGCTTTGGGTTTGAGGCTTATACAATGCTGAAAATGGGGTTCTGTACATGGTAGAATCTTTTGACTAGTAGAATGACAACATTGGGTAAAATTCTCATAAAATATATGATTGACAGTCATCTCCTCAATTATGTTTTGAGATAACATGTTATAATCATAGTACTTGAGAACTGAGGCTCAAAAGAAATGATTTGACCAGAGCTTCTTACTGAGTCTAGGGCTGAACTAAGGACTGAGCATGGTCTTTCATGTTTAACTTTAACAGTGCATAGGACAGTGGACTCGCAGATAGTTTTGACCTCGTGTCTAGACACTGTCATGTGAGATGTTATCACAAGATTAAGCCTAAACTGCAACCAAGTGCTGAATTGTCCAACTGTTACTCATACCTTTCCTTGTAGGTAATGCTAATGAAGATGCCCTTTAGCTTCCTAGTCAGTTTTATTATAGAAAAGCGCTAGGCGATGCATTAGCAACACAAGTTGTCATTCCTTCCCAGTTTTCTGACAGAAACTTTGCTAATCAGATGGCTACTGCTTTGTTTCATGGTCTTCTTCTTTTGACTTACAGAGCTGACACTGGGTCAGACAAACCCCAGCAGCACAAAGCAAGAAGACCATCTGAAATATCAATGTACGCTGTTGCAGAGTATGGGCATTTTTCAATGTACAGGCAATAAGGAGTCAAAACATTTCCTACTCCCCCTCTCTCCTTTCTTTGGTCTGGAATTGAGAAAGTGGGAAGAAACCAGATGCATTTTAAAGAAAATAGTGTTTCGATACATTTTTGATTTATGCTGCTGTGGCGCTCCAATTTTCTCTAACTAGGGCATTATGCTTTCATAGGTAAAATTAAAATTAAAATTGATTTTTCCAGGAATGCACATGCTTCTTCAGGCTTCTGTGATATGACAGCAGAATAGATTTTTAAAAACCATCTGCACTCAAAGGGAATACATGAAATGCATGCAGTGTTTAGGAAGACTGCAAAGTCACAGATTAAAAAATGAGGTTGCTGTCTGCTTAGATATACAGTGTTATTTCCTTCTGAATAGCCAATGTGATGGTGCCTATCATGTAAATACATCTGTCTGAAATGATGATAAGGGGCTACATTTGACTTATGGGAGAAAATTACTTGAACTGGTATTCAAACAGACAAGGCGGGCTGCTCACCAGCTACAACATGGCCATGGACTCAGTGCAGCCCATGAGGTGCTTGGCATGCCAGGCCAGGCCAGGCTAAACCTTCAAGAGGTGGATCAGCAAGTGAGTTGAGTCCATGTTTCTGGACTAGGATTACCATTTTCATTCCTACACAGTCAGTGCTTTGAACTGTAGGGAATGAAAATGGAAGTAATGGGAAGTCTATTAATATGTTTTTATAGTTCTGGGCCAAAGAAAGGTGCATTAGACCAGGACATTTTATACTCCTGGGCTGAAACATTGTCCATGAAGTACATCTTTGCTTAAAGGAAACCTGAACTATCCACGTTCCAGCATCTGTACAAGACTGGAGGTGTACAGTTCAGCTTAAAGTAATCGGCAGTTTGAGGCATGAAATATACATATAACTCTCTGTTTCCAAGTGAGAAAAGAAAATGTCCAACGTTAACTCAGTGCCTGTGGTAAACTGACATTGGCCAATGTATGGGGAGATCCTGGAGCAAACTATTAGATAGAATTCCTTTGTAGTTCTAATTTTTGCATAGACCTATTACCCATTTCAAGTCTTATAGTAAAAAGGTGGCTAATTTAAAACCAATGTAATCATCCTATTTTTCCTTCCAGCTCAGTTCTGCAGTAAATTTCTGCCATGTAGAACAATTTATACTGAAATCTATAAAACACTGTGGGAGGAAAAAAACCCAGTTCTAGTATTCTGACCAACAGCTTTGGCACTGGATGGGCATCAGTGGGGAACATCATACCATAATAAGGAGGTGACCACTGACAAAGTTCTCTCCTTTGTTGCCAGCCTCTGAGCATTTCTTGGAAGTGAAACTTGGAGGAAGGCCTTAAATGTGGACTGTGATGTTGTTCCATCAGGTATTGAAGTCACAAGCCACAATTTCAGAAAATGGGAAGGCAGACTTTGGTACAATACTAGCTCCATGTTTTCTCTGGAAACAGCACTGTGCCCACTGGCTTCTATTACAGGGCTTGACGGGCATGGTAAGCATCAACATTAGACATTTATTTACAATCACTCCTCAGATTAATATTTGGAAGTCAATGGTGAAGGTGCTGAATGCTGATAAATAACTACCAAGACAACCTAAATTCATCAGAAGACTTTTTTTAATAAGAAAAGTTCTAAGATGTTCCTTTTTAACCACCCCACCAAACCAAGAAAAAGTCACTTCACAAATTTTTCTCTATTTGTTTTATTATTCTGGTTATGAGGAGGATGCAAACATGGGGCCAAACTGCCAATGCTACTCATTACTTGCAGTGTCAATGAAATAAACAGACAAAGAACAACAAAACTGAGGAAAAAATAGCAAAGTTGTGCTACATCTCCTGCTAAGTATGAGCACTGTGTGTGTGTGTGTGTGTGTGTGTGTGAGAGAGAGAGAGAGAGAGAGAGAGAGAGAGAGAGGGAGAGAGAGAGAGGGAGAGAGATTTGGAGAATTTATCCTTTGCCTGAAGAAATATGTTCAAATGGTTCACCCAATTTCTCTGCCTGCAAACAGAATAGTGAATTTTGAGGCTGTGTCAAAAATTCCACGTTCCTTTTGTGTTACTTTTCCACGTTCCTTTTGCCTGTAAATATCCATTCCATGATGCTGAACCTGCATGCATTTGTTAAGCCATATATGAAGTTTATGCTGTCTTTGGTGTCAAGGCTGAAGCAAGACTCAGAATAACTGCCTGACTCCTAGTGGGATTCCTGTGGGCGCTAGAGCTATACTTTGGCTTCATCTGTGCCTTGAGTTCTGATTGTCTCTGTTTGGCTCAGTCCTGCTGAAAGACTTGGCTTTGCTACATAAGAGGTTTTAGCCAGTTCTGTTATTCTGCCTTGAAAGCATGGTTCTTGTGTTTTTATGCTGTTTGTTACTTAGAATATTCCCTCACTCTTTCCCTTTCTATAAACACATTTCCATTAAATAACTGGAAAATTTATACCAGTTAAGACTTGCTACTAAATTGGTACTAAATTCAGCACTTTCCTCTTGATTATTCCTACTGTGAAAGATCTCAGGCTCTTGCTTCATAAGCCTGTATCCTGATACTTGCTTGGCTCAGGCTAAGCCGGACATAAGGGGTGGTGACAGCCTGCCTTGCTGGGTTTGTGTCCAACTCGAGTAAACTTTGGATATTGCATAAACTGGAACACCCCCTTTCCTTTCTTAACATGCCTTTGATGCACTGTCCAGATTAAATATCAGGATCCAATTTGCTTACCTTGATTTAAAGCCATCTGGTGGCATGAGTTCCAATGTGTGCGTTGGTCCATATAGATTGACTACATATAACTTCACTGTTGGATTCATTTCACCTGCCTTTAGAAGGAATAAATTAAAATGTAATATGTATTTGTAAAGACTCAGAAGAGCCATGGCAGTACATGCAGCAAACTACATAAGACATGGGTCCAGAGTGGTCAATAGGTATTCACACTTGGTTCCATTTTTCTTGACTAGGATGTGGGAGAAACAATTCTGCTTAACTTCTCATTTTTTCACATATAAGTGCATTATTATTACAATTACTATTATTACTATTTGTCCACACCAAAATCCATATTTTTAATTTTTATGTACTGTTTTGGAAGCACAAATATTTTAAAAGAAATTATATGCAGAATAATCATTATTGGTGTTTTTTGTAACACACCCACCCAGCCACACACATGTGCATTTTGCATCTATATTTGTGCACCTGTGTTTGAAAAGCATGTATCATTGCTGTACTTTTTTTTGCGGGGGGGGGGGACTGCATGCTTCAGAGATGTATGGAGTTTAATGCTAAACTATATTTGGGTTCAGGTATGGGAAGTGCAAGTTCCCAAGTTTAGGTCTGAGAAGGGCAAATTGAAATGCAAACCCAACATCCATCTAAACTCTGGACGAAGTGTTGATAGTGCCCAACTCCATGCCCTTTGGTATAAGCCCACGAGTTACCATGAGTCATCTAATGCTGCAGCCCATATGAAGTAATATTATTATTATGCAATTATTATTATTATGTATTTATTGTATGTGTGTGTGTATGTATAGCATTTATTTTCCTCTTATGAAAAAAGCAAGGTGGGTTACCTAGCTCCATACTCCGGGTATTCTTTCTCTTTTTTGCAGTTTGTAGAAAACTGGTGTACACTAAAAGCATTCTCAAGGGGGAAAGCAGGCTTTCAAAAGGTGCAAAAAGTGCCTTCAAAAACTTCCTATGGGGATTTCCATCTGTTTGAAGGCCTGACATGCTTCTGCAAAAGGTGATTCTAGCAGATCAGGAATGGTTCAGGCTATGACTGGTATAACCCAACTGTGCTGCCCATTGAACAAACTGCTCAGTAACTGAGCAATTTCTCCACAGCCTTGCAGTTTTCTTGATCTCCTAAAATCTTCTTGGGTGGAGGAGAGGTTGGGAATTCTCCAGAACAGATTCTGGAGCTCATGGAAAAGAGATGTCTGGAAGTCCCTTTGTGCCAGGAGGCCTCTGCATGCTCAAAACAGGATTGCACTTATCTCTAAGATCCATCCAACTGGTAACATTAACTTGCATGTAATGTGAAGTTGCCCTCCTGGTTGTGCTCATCATGCCAGTCCATGTTTGTGCATGCCTCAGGCTCAGTCTAGCAGGCATCTGTGTTCCCCATCTGTCACCCCCTAGATACCTCTACAGTACATTTCCCCATGAGCTAGTCCCTTCTCTTCCATTTTTGAATGATTCCAAACTGAGTTGGAGAGAGTTGACTCATTATAGCAGAAACCTTAAACACTTGTCTGACTTTCTTCCTTTAAACTATGTAAGACACAGGAATACTTAACTCACTAGAAGGATGACATTTATGTACGACTCTCTAAACCTTAATTAAGCACATGCAGTCACAGAAGGGATTCCAGTTAACTATGAGCAAAGTTAAGCACTGACATCCATAGTAAGAAAACATATTCACTCAACTTTTTCTCTGAAATGAAAGTGTCAAAGGAATTTAATTTTGGCTGTATTATGCCACCTTTCTCATTCAAGTTTTTGTTTTCTACTAAAAATGACCATGAGGCTTGAGTATTATATGAAATAGTGTTATAAATACATATTTCATCACATTGTTTTATTTTATCAATTTCTTTTTCACAAATCAGTAAGCCAAGTTGCTTTTCGCTTTCTTTGAAAAACACTGAATAATAATTTTTATATGTTAAAAATCATTAAGAATCACTTATTTTGCTTCTTGAGATAAGCATTTTGACATGAAATCCTATATGTACTGCCTTGGTAATAATTCTGCTGAAAATAATGAGACTTACTTCTGAGTAGCTGTGTATAGCATTTCACTGTTGGAGTTATTACATACCATATATAAGTAAAAATTGTATATATAGGTCACTCACCTTTGGATATGGATACTGCTTTCCTCTGGGATACAAAAACCCAGTAAAACGAGGAATAACCATGTTTGGCACTAATGAGTCATTTATCATCAGAAATGCCAGCCTTTCTCCATCAGGTGACCACCAATGAGTAATGTGAGAATGAAGCAGTTCCTCTGAGGGGAAAAATGTCCTTAAAACCCATGAAATTAGCAACTGTAATAAGTAATCAGAATCAAAAATTCTAGTCCACTGGCAGTTAACAGAGTTGACAAGTCCCTTATCAGTAACTCTACTTCTGTTCGGAATCTCTCAGAAGCTCACTGGGAACACAGTGCTGCATATACAACCTGTTTCTCTTAGCAAACTTCCTAACTTATGCTGCTAAACAATAAAATAAAAAGTTAACAAACAAGGCTACATTTGTGCCAGTTAAAAACACAGCCATTTGAATGGCAGAAAAATAAAAATGTTACATAAGCCACTTGCTTTGAATGTTTAATACCATTAAAATATTGGGTAACAGATTTTTTGAGAAGATTATGGCAATCTGCTGGAAATGGCTAGCTCTCCTTTCATTTACCCAGGAAATACAAGCGGAGATATGTCAGGGTCGAATGGTAAATGTTAAATGGGACAGCCATTTGAAATATAGTTTTTTTTAAAACATTCATCAGTATTAACAGTCAAAACGCAGATTAGGAAAAAGATTCAACCTGTGCTGAATGGATTAAGCTTCCACTGAAGATTGAACATCATACTTAAGGTGTACTTTGGCACTCATTGTCAAACTCCTGGTACTCGCAAGGAGTATCTTTGCACAGTCATAACTACCGTGTTAATTGTCCCTATCCTAATGGCACCTGATCTAGCCCTGGCCACATATGGCTTAGTTATAGCCTGTTTGGACTACTGTGACACATTCTATATGGCGCTTCCTTCAAAGAGTTCAGTGACTTCAACTGATCCAAAATGGTGTGGCCAGACTATTGATCAGGACTGGTTACACTTACCGGTTACATGAGATCTTGGTTACAGCTGCTTTATTGGGTACCAGTCTGAATTTGGGAAAATGTCAAAGTGCTGCTTATGGTTGCAGATCTTGGGAGCGGGCTATCTGAAGGGGTCAGATCTTGATATCTTCAGGAGAGGCCCTACTTTCACTGCCTTTGATGGCATGCTTGGTAGTGATACTGCCCCCTCCCCCCACACACACCCCCAAACCGTTTTGGGTGGTTACTCCTGAACTGTGGAACTCCTGCCAAAGAAGCTAGATTTTTGCTGGCAGGCAAAACCCTTTATATTCAAGCAGGCATTTGTCATGTAAGCAGGTTTGGTAGGTTGGATGCTGTTTTAACTTTGTTACTGTCAAGTTCTTAGCTGCATTTTAAACCATTTGTTTTATTACAGCTATTATATGATTGTATTTGTAATGGCAAGCTGTAACAAACCAGAAATGTGATTTTATCTTGTGGGGAAAAAAGTATAAATTAATCAAATAAATAACCAATAACTACTATGAAGTTGCTGGTGTGATTATGTATCTCTCAACCTATATATTTACTAGTATTGCCTTTGAGTCTATCAAGGATAAGATTATATCTAATTGTCTTATACTAATTGAGATATAACGCAGAATTAAATGCTGTATTTGTATGAGTAGATCATAATAATATATAATTGCTGCATATATGCTGTGGCACTATCAAGACAAGACCAGGATCAGAAAACCAAACTGTAGTTGGCAGAGTGAGTAAGATAACTCCCAAACTCAGCAGGGCTGCTTATTATATTTTGAAGCAGTTGTCATAAAACCCCCTGCTATCTAAAGAGTATGGTTCTGGTAATCACCAAATCTGGGCCTCCTGCGTTTTCCTAAAGCTTCAGGAAAGAGGGCAGGGAGGGGGAGACTGGGGAGGCCTGGGAATATATGTTATCCTACTCCAGCCTACTTCCTTCCCATGTAGAGATCAGAGATCCCTCACTAGAGATCAGAGGCAATCTCTACTTCTCTGTCCTCTTATTTCCTGCGTTTTCACAGAAGACAAACTTTTGATATCCTGTCCACACTGGTCTCCCCCTGTCCCTGCCCACTGGAGCTTCCATCTTCCTGAGTTGCTGGGGTTTCTTTCCTGCTCTTGGAAAACCAGCAGGCATGGTTCTTTCATCCTGGCTGTGAGAAGATTTGTGGTTAGATTTGATTCCCCCTTCTAGTTCAGAGCCCCATCTCTGACCTTGAAATAGTTTTACAAGATGCCCTACAGTATCTGGAACACATCCTTGGGGAACATAGGATTGCTTTTTAATTCCACAGGGTGACATTTCATAACTGTACCACTGCTTGTACTACCTGTGAAAAACAGGCAGAATAAGTCTCAGCACTAGAAAAAGAAGGAAGAAACATTCCACTCTTTGTGTTCTTTTTCTATCCCTGCACAATTTTTTCAACATGGAGAAATAAAACAGGCAGGTTTTTAACAGTTTAAATGCCTGCTAATGAAAACTTTGCTTATTCCATGTGCATAGCTATGCTTTTGTTATAAGCACAAGCAATTTTGCAAGAAAACATTACATGTAAAAAGAACAATCAACAGCATTGTCCTAGAATGAATAGACTTTTCCTGGATAATGGTAGGGTCTCTGAATGCATAAGAAAGTTGCATCTGTTCAACTTACCTTCATATAACCAGTCAGCAATTCCATTAAATATAATTCCTTCTTTTCCAGAAGATGTCAGTCGCAAAGAGCTACTCTTTACGTCAGGCTGATAGTAGATGTTATTTTCAAAAATATAAATCTAAATTAGACAAGAAAGTACATATTTTGGGGAGTTGGTGTTAGGGTTTCTTCAGATAGCAAATAGTTTCACATTCAGTGACTGAAACACAGTTTCTGTGCATATCTTTTAATATATATATTTCGATTTACATAAAAGGAGTGTAAAGATATAATACATATCTACAGTCAAATGAACTATAAAGGAAAGCAAGGTTGCATCATATCCTATACCTGTCTTTGCAATATAAAATAATATATGCCTTGATTAATAATATAATGTGTTGATTATTATGGTACTTCCCTTCGTTTTACCTATTTCATTACTCCATTATATGCTTTTCCTCCACAGTCAAAGGTTGAACTGTTTGTTGCAGTTTCTAGGAAAATCATAGATTCTAGGTTGGAGCTGGGAGTAGGATTCCAACATAGCAGAATTGCCTTCTGCATGCAGAGAGGCTATTGCATAGTAGTTCCATTCTAGTTTCTTGGAAATCCCAAACTTTTGCCATTGCTTCCAGCTGAACATGGTTATATACTGATTACTGCAAACTTCATATCTATGCTGGGTCCCAGAGATGACACCACTAGATTATAAAGGGATGACCATATGAGTGGCACTGCCATGGCAGAAAGCAGCAGATCAGTGGCAGCGGGAAGAAGCCTGACACTGAAAATAGAACCACTGGGTAAAGAAGCTGTTGCTACTTCCATCTTAATGGTCTCCAAATGCTTTGGGCTGTTCATCAAAGCACATAGCATTGTTGGAAAACTAAGATCCAAGCTGCAACTGTGTTACTCAGAAAACAGGGATTGGGCTCTTTTCTGCCAAAATATAGCATTTAAGGTAGAAATCTTAGACTCTGAATGTGAACAATAAAAACAAGAAGAGAGGTTGAACTGTGTTACTGATATTTAATGTAATATGTAATATGTTCAAGAATAATGAACACCAAAACCAGCTAAGAGGCTGTTAAGAACCAATCTGTCTCTGGTTTGGAGAGAGACTTCATAGAACAAGGGCCAGAAGGAAAGGGATGTGAATTCATTTACTCGGTGGTTTGCCATTAAGGAAAAAGCAGGCTAATTAAGTATGTCCAGTGTTTTTGACATCTGGCATAAAAGCAACATGAAGCTCTCTGACAGTAGAGCTAGCACATTTTGGATGAGAAGAGAAAAAAGGGGGTTCAGTTTGGAATCCCATTCTGACATGGATAAGAGCTGATTCCCCCATTCAGAGAGATCTCACCTTAGTAGATGTGCTACAGAACCAGCCCTGACTGGCCAGCCTGACTCAATAAAGAACTATATTTAGAAGACTTTTGCCTTGACCTGCTGAAAGGAGAAAAGGTGAAAGACCTGCTCATGGCACAGACTTTTTTCCACAGCATAATGCCCTAAAATTGATGGTGAAGAAGAAGAGGAGGAGGAAATATGAAAGATGGCCAGTAGCATCAGTGGTGGATTATCTCTCTGTCCCTCTGTCCAGGATTGGCGCCCCATGCCAGTTGCCAGTGTCAGGCCTGCTGGGTACTGTACTGTTTACTAGAGATGCCAGAAGGACTCACTGAACTTGCTTCACATGCAATCCTAATCCAGCTTCCAGGCAACAGATGATGCGCAATGTATTAACACCTTCCAGCTCATATATTTCCAATGCAGCTGGGTAAATCGTTCTGAGGAGCTGTGCAGCAAAAACAGAGAAGGGTGAACCAATTAACTGGTCCCAGCATTTAGTGGGAAGGCAGGATGAAACTTAAATAACAAAGAACTTGTTCAATCACATAGAAAAGAAAAGACTATTTGGGTTAAATGTGTATAACATCCTTCTCTATAGATCCTGCTTGATGCTGTTTAATATGTTTGATGACATCAAGGTAATGAATGCACACACTGAAACAGTCCTCAAGACACTTCATTACATTATTTTTATTTTATATTATATTTTATCAAGATTAAAGCTGTCATTCGTAAGATATTTTATATTGGAGTTAACAAGCACTTTGTGACTAAATTTTCACTGCTGGGGTAGTAATTCCAGCAGAAAGAGACTAATAAAAGAGGTACTATTTATGCATTAATTTTAATCCCTAGAATGTTGGCATTCTACAATTTAAACTCAGCATATATGAATACAATGAGCATACAATAATGTATGGTAAAACTGCCCACTCTTAAAATTTAACTGTGAACATCAAAGTCCATAGTTATTCCAAATAACAAAAGACCTTGTGACACTTTTGGGAAAAAAATGAACGGAGCGATATTTTAAAGTTAAATGGGCTATTTCCAGACTATACATGTGAGGATAGGGATGTTTTTATTGATTTCTAAGTTACTCTAGAAGCCTTTCTACCAGAAGACCATGGTATTAATGTTTAAACAAACAAATCAATCAATAAAACATACAGCTGTGGAATAGTCATGAAAATGGCCTGATTTAGATTTAATACCAAGCCCTGGTTTGCTATTACAGCAATGATGTGGCACGAAGCCTGGTTTATATGATTGCCTTTGTCTCAATGGATAAGGGAAGGAGGTTTAAATCTATCACTTATGTAAACAGTGTGTTGATCAAACCACAGATTATTACCAATCTCAGACTTAAACAAAGGAAAGCATTATATTTGTCTACATGAGTGTATACCTGAAGATGGTGCTAAGTATTTACTCCCATAAACAAGAAATTATAAGAACTATCACTATTAAATCAAATACTTTTTAAAGAGACAAAAAAGGCAATTTAAAGCAATTCAGTATATTTTAAAAGATTTAGATCAATTCATATTTCTTAATTTGGAGAGAGGCTAAATATAAATGTTGATAAGTTCATCTGGACAATAAATATTCAGATCAGGATCATGGAATGTAAGACAAAACCTTGCACAGTTTTTTCTAACAAATGACCAAATAAAACTTTAACTAGCAAAGGCAAACTATAGCTAAAATGAGTGCTTAACGTGAACACTTGAGCTGCAATGCAGAGCCCTGGTTATGTTCAAGCTTCACATTCTAGTTTGTGAGAAAAACAAGCAAGGGCAATGTGCACGGGCATCTGCATATCCCAACAGTGCATATTTCAAACAATGTTTGTATCCAACAGCTCCTTGGTCATGGGGAGGCCATGGATCGCCACAAGGAGCTGTGAGCCTGCAGCTGGTCCCTGCCTATTAGACCATTAAGAACATAAGAGCATAAGAAAAGCCATGCTGGATCAGGCCAAGGGTCCATCGATCCAGCACTCCATTCACACGGTGGCAAGCCAGCTGTGCACAGGACTGTTCAAGCAGAATGGGTGCAAGCCTTCACCTGCCCCAACTCCTCAGCACCTGGTGTTTGCAGGCATGCCACCTGCTGACATTTATTTTCTAAATGCCAGGGTACACCCATTTAAAGCAATTAAAATTTGATAGAATGAAGAAGCAATTTTAGAAGGATAAAGTTACACATCTCTTGCTTGTAATTAATCATAATTAATTATTATGCTGGTCTATTTCATCTGCATTGTGTTTGCATTGCATTTGTTGTTATTACAGCTGAGATTCTTGTTAATAGTACATATGGAGTCATGAATTTAAGAATGTATATGTGAACTACTTTGGAATTTTATTACGTTCAGCATATACCGTATTAATAATAAATGAATGAATAGACTATCAAACAGTAAAACAGCAGCATTGTTTAAAATTCTAAAGGCTCAATCCAATTAAGATGCCCATAAATGGATCCCCTTGCAACCACAGTGATGTATCTGGCATGCTTCCTTCCATGCCAGCTGTGAGATGGCAAGGGCAGAGGCTCAGCTGTGAGGCCAGAGTGACTTTCAAACCTTGTGGCTGGGTCTTAATTTGCAG